AAAAAAAGTCCGCTATTGCGTATGAACCAAGCGCGTGGTTTTCAAACTTTAAGTTGACCTGAACACTCACTGTTGTGCATCAAAAGGAAAAAGACTCTCAAGGTAAGCATCGGTCTACTCTTATTAAGCTGTTGGTATTTCAGAATTCTTTCCATTAATAAGTTAAAACAGTGGTTCTGTAAACTTTTTCGGTGCGTCCTTTTCAGTTTTAATGAGAGGACAACGCTGTTTTCCAATACTTCGTCGACAACTTAAGACATCAGGATCTTAATAAAAACTTTCAAACTCAGAGGACGCGTGGTTTATAATGAACTAGTATGGTTCACATCATGAGTAATTTTACTTCAATTCGTAGTTAAAGTCGGCCTTTCAAAATCAAATTCAACCGAAAAAACTTACGAAGTACCGCACTCCGAATTTGGCGGGAAATGGTTCCCTGACCCTTTTATGGCAAGGAAAATCCTTTCTTCCCCAGCAAAAACTGACAAAAGAAGTTTTTACTGATAATGCTTTTAATAGTAATACAATGGTACACATAGAGTAAACGACATATTCTGGTTACTCTAGCTACCCGTTACAATTTACATTACCTGGAACATATTGAGTAATATTTCCTTACTTAAAGGCACGTTATTACAACTACGAATTAAAATCAAATACTTGGCAATACCCGATAACTTACTACGGAAGTTTCCTTAACTGTAAAGCTACATGAAATATCTTGTATACATTTCAATGCATACATTTCAATCCTACCTACATTTCAATGTATCACAAACCAAAAAAAAAGAATCAATCTGAAAAGAAATCAGTGTATATGTTGTAGTTCAATGTTATCCTTGGTTCAAATTTTATTTTCCTTTGTACAAATCATTATCATACATATCATTAACATGACTGAGAACAAAGGAAAATAAAATTTGAACCAAGAATAAAATTGAACTACAACATATACACTGTGCAAAAAATAAATCCAAACTCTTTACAAAAAAAAAGGGTAACAGTACCATGAAAATAAAAGTATTTTAAAATTCTTCTACTCTATTACTGTACATGTATTTTCACTTTGGAACATATTTACACCTAACAGGCTTCCACTTGAGCCTGACATGTGACTGAACAGTCAATATTTGTGCTATCAAAGTTACAACTGTGTAATGTACTTTCTCTTTCCATTTTCACTGTTTCCATAAAGTGTAGAAGGAACCATGTTTGTCTATCAGTTGGCCGGTCATCTTTCATTGAAGAAGGCTCGACTTCCTCCATAAATGCCCTGCCATCTTCATCACTAGCAAGGAAGTTCCCAGTCTTTTTAGACTTAATAGACATGTAATCACTCTGGTTGTTGACATGTTTAACTTCAAACAGGTATTTTATCTCATCGGGTTGATGGGCTACCAGCTGCAAATAAAAATATAGACTTAAATTAACAACCTTAACTAGACAGTTTTAACCCTACTGCTAGTAACACAAGAATTAAATTATTGGCCAGGGTGTGAGGTGTTTAAGTACAGAATGACTCAGGGTTATTCCACAAATTATCATTTCCCACTTAGAAGAACTAAGTATGTACACTTAGCTGGGAAGGAATTATAATGGTTATTTTTTTACTCCCTGTTTTTT